AGTGATAGGGTACATTCTCCTCCCAGGCGCCCCAGGATCCCATCATTACAGGGGTCCGCCCAACCAGTCCCCAGTTCTTTTTTTTTTTTTTTAATTGAGATGCAGAGTCTTACTCTCGCCCAGGCTGGAGTGCAGTGGCATGGTCTCGGCTCATTGCAACCTCTGCCTCCCAGGTTCAAGCAATTCTCCTGCCTCGGCCTCCCATGTAGCTGGGACTACAGGCACGTGCTACCACGCCTGGCTAATTTATGTATTTTTAGTAGACGGGGTTTTGCCGTGTTGGCCAAGCTGGTCTTGAACTCCTGACCTCAGGTGATCCGCCTGCCTCGGCCACCCGGGTTACAGGTGTGAGCCACCATGCCTGGCCCCCAGTTCTGTACTATGACAACCCATCTACCTTTTTCCCCACTCGTGTATTAATCTTGAAGCCTGCATGGATGAGAAGTAGATAATAGGATAAATGAATGATTCCTCTTTTAGATCATATACAGATAGAGATAAATAAGGGCCTTCAGTACCTCAGCCAAGGGAGTATGCCAAATGGTAGTCTCAGACCTGGCTGGGAAGGGATAGGTTGAACAGGAAAGAGGTGAAGAAGGCTTTCTTGTCCTAAAATTACTTCACATGGATAGCTCTGAAGAGAATTACTAATTAACCAGATCTTATATTTCAGAAACACCCCCTTGAAGATATATTTTTATCCAAATTAATGGAGCAGGGGAGGCCTTTTTGAAACTTTACTTTGAGACCCTAGAATTTAGTTATAATATGGCAGACCTTTTTTCTGGGAGGAAAGTGCAAGAACCTGTCTGAGGACACCTAAATTGCCTTCGCTTTCCCTGAGATGAGATATCTGTTTCATATAGCAGTTGACCTGGTAGCTTCAGTTTCACCTGCCCTGCTTTTATCAGGAGTCATGTTTTCCGCTATCACCATGGTCCCCACTGTTTCAGCTCCCTGACAATATGTAATGATTTTCTATCTGCATTTAATTCTCCTAGCAGAGGCACATAGAGTAAGAGTCATTTATTTCAGCTCTCTGTCCTTACAGATCCAATTTAGTAAACATCTAATAAGCAATTATTAGTGTAAAGAACTTCAGCGGAAGCTGTAGAGCACGGAGAAAAAGAATAGCATCCCCATCTCCCTACTGGAGTCCATAGTTTATTGGAGAAGACAGAAACATCGAGGTATTTCTAAAGCAGATATTCTTAATCTTGGCTACACATCAGGATCACCTGGGGAACTTTGAAACATCCAACACACAGGCTGTACTCCAGAGCAATTAAATTAAAATCCCTCAAGCTGGGACCCAGGCATCAATATGTTTTAAAGCTCCCTGGGAGACTCCAAAGTACTGTATGGCTAAGCTAGAGCAAAACAAACGGAAAATGCTGCAGTAAAGGACTAACAAGATGCTGTATGAACAAGGGTACCACAACCATTCTGGATATGCTAATGTTCTTACCCACTGTCTGACCGCATTTCTGCCCATGAATGCAGAAAATATAACCTCTCATTGTAACCAGAGGAAAAATTTAGGTCAGTTTGATTGTAGGACATTTAGAAACTATGTACTCTGAGAGGCATGGTCTGAAGGAAACTATGTTTCTGAGGGGAAAATGGCTCCAAAAAAGATCAACCCAGAAAAATGACCCCAAAATTAAATCCACATGCTCTCTCTCTCCCCTGGAATGTTTTATTCACTTGTCTTCCTGAAGAAGTCCTATCCATCCTCTAAGCTCCCAGCTCAAACTTCACCTCTTCTATGAAGCCTTTCCTTTTCTTCCCCTTACCCAGGCAAAACTGGGTCCCTATTTCTATCTTACTTAGCTCCTTGTACATAGTTCTCTTCTTAGCAGTTAATTATAATTATTATCAAATTGAGTTATAATTTGGCACACTGCTTATTTTATGGGCCCTACGTATCCTTGTTTTCTTAATACCTAGCCCAGTTTCTCGGTTTGTTGAATGAATATTCAGAACGGCAGCAATTTTAGGTGCAGTGAGAACTCATGCCACCAGCAGAGGAAACCTAGACTCAGAAATTCCTCGGACTCCCTCGTCCTGTTTCTGAGCATCGAGATCCTCTGCTTCCAAGTGGTTGGGCTGGGGAAATGGGCAGACATACTCATGGGTGTAAAGCAGCTGCAGCAAATGATGGATGGGCCCCCCGCCCCCAGGCTTTAGTTAAAGCGGTGAGCTTGAGTTTCATTTACAGTTTTGTTGTTAGAGGAAGAAAGAAACAGAAGGAAGGTCACAGGTTTTCAAGTGTGAGCATTAAGGAAAAGTGCCTGTGGACTCCTGTTTTATTCAGGCCACAGGCATCCCAGAAAAGTTAGAACAGTGTTCTGTCTGGGGAAATTGTTTGTCTGTTTTAGTTTATTTTTAAACTTTAAATCTTAAAAGATTTTTTTTTAAGTTTCATAGGTTTTACACATATGAAGGCGAAAAGATGATTTCAATCTTATATGTATGAGGGTCATGCAGTCCAGATTTTCTAGGACAATGCTAATTTTAGATCTTATGTCCTGATTTCTTTCTTTTTTCTTTTTTTTTTTTTTGGAGATGACCTCTCACCCCATTGCCCAGCCTGGAGTGCAATGGCGCTATCTTGGCTCACTGCAACCTCCATCTCCTAGGTTCAAGCGATTCTCCTGCCTCAGCCTCCTGAGTAGCTGGGACTACAGGCGCCTGCCACCACGCCTGGCTAATTTTTTGTATTTTTAGTAAAGACGGGGATTTCACGTGTTAGCCAGGTTGGTCTGGATCTTCTGACCTTGTGATCCGCCCGCCTCAGCCTCCCAAAGTGCTGGGATTACAGGCGAGAGCCACCGCACCTGGCCTTGATTTCTTATATGGAAAGTATGGTTGCTGTTCTTACCATTGGCTATCATTTTCCCAGCATGCTTAAAGATCTTTTAGTGATCAGAATGTTTAATTATTTTGGCTTTCTGTGTGGCAAAAACACATTTTTAAAAATTTTTTTAAATTTTAATTATCTTACTTAAGCTTGCTTAAGTAAGGTTGCCTCATGGACAAAAAAGCCTAAAGATAACAGAACAGCATTGAGTATATTGCCTGGAGCACCAGACTTGTATTGAATGTGGCTTTTTGGTGAAGATGATATGTAGTAACATTTCTTTCTGTACCACAAATTAATATAAAAATCCTTCAAAGAAAAAACAAGGGCCGGGTACAGTTGCTACACCGGTAATCCCAGCACTTTGGGAGGCCAAGGAGGGCGAATCATTTGAAGTCAGAAGTTCAAGACCAGCCTGGCCAACATGGGGAAACCGGGTCTCTACTAAAAATACAAAAATTAGCCAGGCATGGTGGCGCACACCTGTAGTCCCAACTACTTGAGAGGCTGAGACACAAGAATCTCTCGAACCTGGGAGGTGGAGGTTGCACTGAGCAGAGATCATGCCACTGCACACCAGCCCAGGGGACAGAGTGAGACTCCGTCTCAAAAAAAAAAAAAAGAAAAAAAAAAGAAAAAATTAGTCATTAAGAATCGTTGTTTCATTATGAACTATTATCTAATCCTGGCTGTCACTTGAGAAATGTTTCTTTGTGAGGTGCAGACACAGGAGCCCACCAAGAAAGAAACTAGTGACCACTAGAAAAGCCTGTTGCTGGAGCCACATCCCCTGTGCCACAGGCCAGATGGAATCTCAGCAAAATGGTGGCTGTAACCCCACATGGGCTTTTACTTTTAGTGGACACATTCTTGAAAATATTAATGTTTATCCTTATCTCTTATGTTAATCACCATAATTGTTATGGTTATTATGGATTACATTGCTATTGTTTCTCTTTTCGTTTCCTGGATTCAGACCAAATTGAACCTTTAAAATCTGTGAGCAAAATCACTTCAGTTTTAATTGAATGGCCCACAACTAGTTAATCTTTTTTGCCTGTTTAAAAAGTGTGACTTTTTTTCTCACTGAATAATACAAAAAGTATAAAATAAAGGCTAAACTTTAAAATATTCTTTTATATCTAAGAACTATAAGCTTTGTAAGCTTTTAAAAAGTGCTTAGTAATTTTAAGTTACTTTTTTTTTTGAGATAGGGTCTTGCTGTGTTGCCCAGGCTGGATTCAAACTTCTGGGCCCAAGTGATCCTCCTGCCTCAGCCTTCTGAGTAGCTGGGACTATAGGTGTTCGCCACTATGCTTAGCTAACAGTTACATTTTTTGTTGTTGTTTTTAATCACCTGACTGCCATAAGGTCTCCCGTAACCTGGTTCCATTTCTTAGAGGACATCTTGTATGTTCTTCAGTCAATATTTTGTGAAACAACAACAACAGAATAGCATCAAAATATATGTTACTGGTAGGTGGCAAGCTATTAGTGCATGAACTGTGTCTTCTAGAAAAAGCAACCTATTTTCACATGTCATTAAATTAGGAGCTATTTCTGGCTCATGTAGCAGTATTGATTGCTCCATGTGTTACCATGATCCTTCTATGATGGAAAATCTACACTAAGTAAGGACAGCACCCTTCCCAGTAGCTAGCCAGTCTCTATTCACAGACTGCTGTTAGCTACTTCCATAGTCAAAATCTGTGTGTTTTCATCTGCCCAAGCTTTCCTCTCTTGCAACCTCATGACAGTTAGGAACTTCTCACATACTTGCCCAGAATGCCAGCAGATCTTCAGCTGGTGGTAACACCCTTAGCATGAGCCAGATTTGAGATTCCCTAATCCTCTGTGATCTCTGATGAGTACAGGGAAAAGGATATGTGTAGGAGTGGGGCTTCGTATTATGACTAAGGCTCAAAAGAAGGTGAGGCCAGAGAGAGCCTGAGCTGGGATCTGCTGAAACAGCTCCTAAAATGAAAACAAAATGGGGGCCAGGCTTTTTCTGGATAGTAGTTATGTTTTCCTGCCAATGCACAAGTCCTACTCATAGACAATGACAACCAATCTAAATGTCAAATAAGATGATTCGCCTTCATAATCATAACCAACCTGTATGACACCTTTTTAACAGGAGGCCTCATTCTTCTTTTCCCCATCCAGAATTAAGAGGAAAAAAGTGAATATGGTTTTTGCTCACAGAATGGATAACAGCAAGCCACAGTTGATTATTCCTACACTTCTGGTACCACTCCAAAACCGCAGCTGCACTGCAGCAGCCACACCTCTGCCAAGCCAGTACCTGATGGAATTAGGTGAGGAACACAGCTGGATGAGCAACCAAACACATCTGCACTATGGACTGAAACCCGGGGAAGTGGCCACAGCCAGCATCTTCTTTGGGACTCTGTGGTTGTTTTCTATCTTCGGCAATTCCCTGGTTTGTTTGGTCATCCACAGGAGTAGGAGGACTCAGTCTACCACCAACTACTTTGTGGTCTCCATGGCATGTGCTGACCTTCTCATCAGCGTTGCCAGCATGCCTTTCGTCCTGCTCCAGTTCACCACTGGAAGGTGGACGCTGGGTAGTGCAATGTGCAAGGTTGTGCGATATTTTCAGTATCTCACTCCGGGTGTCCAGATCTATGTTCTCCTCTCCATCTGCATAGACCGGTTCTACACCATCGTCTATCCTCTGAGCTTCAAGGTGTCCAGAGAAAAAGCCAAGAAAATGATCGCAGCATCGTGGATCTTTGATGCAGCCTTTGTGACCCCTGTGCTCTTTTTCTATGGCTCCAACTGGGACAGTCATTGTAACTATTTCCTCCCTTCCTCTTGGGAAGGCACTGCCTATACTGTCATCCACTTCTTGGTGGGCTTTGTGATTCCATCTGCCCTCATAATTTTATTTTACCAAAAGGTCATAAAATATATTTGGAGAATAGGCACAGATGGCCGAACAGTGAGGAGGACAATGAACATTGTCCCTCGGACAAAAGTGAAAACCATCAAGATGTTCCTCATTTTAAATCTGTTGTTTTTGCTCTCCTGGCTGCCTTTTCATGTAGCTCAGCTATGGCACCCACATGAACAAGACTATAAGAAAAGTTCCCTTGTTTTCACAGCTATCACGTGGATATCCTTTAGTTCTTCAGCCTCTAAACCTACTCTGTATTCAATTTATAATGCCAATTTTCGGAGAGGGATGAAAGAGACTTTTTGCATGTCCTCTATGAAATGTTACCGAAGCAATGCCTATACTATCACAACGAGTTCAAGGATGGCCAAAAAAAACTATGTTGGCATTTCAGAAATCCCTTCCATGGCCAAAACTATTACCAAAGACTCAATCTATGACTCATTTGACAGAGAAGCCAAGGAAAAAAAGCTTGCTTGGCCCATTAACTCAAATCCACCAAATACTTTTGTTTAATTTCTCATTCTTTCAATTGTTATGCACCAGAGATTAAAAAGCTTTAATTATAAAAACAGAAGCTATTTACATATTTGTTTTCCCTCAACTTTCCAAGGGAAATGTTTTATTTTGTAAAACGCGTTCATTTGTTTATTGTAGTTTTTGTGGGTTTTATTTTACTTGCTTTTTATGTTTTAGGGAAAGCATTCACTTTGAGCTACAGCCAACGGTCCTTTTACTATTAATATATTAGTTACATGCATAAAAAAGAAATGCTTTCTTAACACTTATTTACTGTTGGTTCAAAAACATAAACCTAAGCCATATACACAGTCTTTGATTAATGATTCAATCTAGTTTTATTTTGTTTTGTTTTTCTCCTCCTTACTGAAGTTTTATAACTATGGGCTTCAGTTCCAAATGAAATCCCCATGTCACCTATCTCAGAGATTTATATTTCTTTCACTAAGCAACATTTATGATGAGTTAATAGTGTATAGGTTGTCTTGTTACCTTCCTCCAAGTAACCACAAGCCAGATCTGCTATGGAAAGCATGTCATATATTGGAACTTGCTGGGAAGTCTTCTGTGGTTGGATTTTAATCAGGATTCTTAGGGGGGAAAAGCATAGAGTTGCCTAATTTCTCTTGCTCTTTTTCTTGTTTTTATCTTTCCTTAATCTAAGCAGCTGATGAGGCCTTGAAAAATGCAAAGTCAATGCAATGTTTTCCTGACATCTGTGTCCCATCTAGGCTGTGTCTAGGACATTTACCTCCCATTTTTGAGTTATATACAAGTAAATGCGCAGGTGCTGTTGCTAGCATATCTAAAAAATGCCAAAGACAGACATGACAGATGGCATTTCTCTGTACAGGCTCTGCAATTCAAGCCGAGACTTTCAGCTGCCCAGCCCTACCCCTATACACCAGGACAGCAAGGGCAAGGACTGCCTTCCTCCTTCTCCTAGAAACTCGAGGCCATTTCTCTAGCCAGAGCCTGGTCTCCCTCATCTCTCTCCAGGGCACAGCACCATACCCTGGCCAAGCTCAAACTCTTCTTTGCCTGTGATAACTAGGGAATGTGTTTCCTCTGGTTCCCAGATCTCCATTATTTCAAATCAAGGACCAGCCAGCACATTTAAAAAATGTTTTTATTTAAACAATAAAGGGTTTAGAGACAAGACTAGTATGCATTTTCACGCCCTAGTTAACAAGAGCTGCAAATAATAACTCCAGTTGTTCAGCAATTTTACATGCATTATCTCCTTTATCCTCTCAACAATTCTGTGATATATTTATTATCATCCCTTTTATAGATGAGCAAACTGGAACTCAAAAGTTATGTGACCTGCCCAAGTTGGAATGTGACAGAGCTGGTATTCAAACTCGGGCCTCTAACCACATGTCTGTCTGTCGCTCTTTCCTTGACATTTCGGATGTCTCCCTAGAGAACACGAGGGGCCAAACCCATCCAGGCCTTGAAGGGCTTCCTGACCACTGCCTTGGTAGAAGTCAAAGGTCTAAGAGAATTTGGCTGTTCTTTTTTCTTTTTTTAAATTTTTTTTTTTTTTTTTTTTTGAGACAGAGTCTCACTCTGTTGTCCAGGCTGGAGTGCAATGGCATGATCTTGGCTCACTGCAACCTCTGCCGCCCAACTTCAAGTGATTCTCCCGCCTCAGCCTCCCAAGTAGCTGGGATTACAGGCACCTGCCACCACACCCAGCTAATTTTTGTATTTTTAATACAGACAGGGTTTCACCATGTTGGCCAGGCTGGTCTCAAACTCCTGACCTTAGGAGATCTGTCTGCCTCGGCCTCCCAAAGTGCTGGGATTACAGGCCTGAGCCACCGCGCCCGGCCTCTTTTTTATTTTCAATTTTAAAAAAATCAGCTGAATTTAAGATTCATTGGTGATTCTTAAAAAGGGTCTAGTTGAAATGTAATGAGCCGGCCCTCACCTGTTCCTTGGCTGTAGATAGGTTCTTGAACTTGTGCTGCGGAATGTTTGCGATAAGGAGGGAAACCTGTACCTTCCTATACCTCCCGGACACAAGGGAATGAGACAAGATTACGTTTTGATGTTTGGGACAAAGAATAACAAAACATTTAATCTACAAAACATTTACAGAGCTGATGTTTTTAAGTTGAGAGGCTTTGTTCAATCACAAATTCCAAAGATAGAAATAATTTATCATGGCCGGGAGCGGTGGCTCAAGCCTGTAATCCCAGCACTTTGGGAGGCCGAGTCGGCGGATCACGAGGTCAGGAGATGGAGACCATCCTGGCTAACACGGTGAAACCCCGTCTCTACTAAAAAATACAAAAATTAGCTGGGTGTGGTGGCGGGTGCCTGTAGTCCCAGCTACTCGGGAGGCTGAGGCAGGAGAATGGCGTGAACCCGGGAGGCGGAACTTGCAGTGAGCTGAGATCCGGCCACTGCACTCCAGCCTGGGCGACAGAGCAAGACTCCGTCTCAAAAAAAAAAAAAATAATAATAATATATCATATTTTTCTTTCTCCCTTTTCCCCTCCTCCTCACATTCTTATCCCATCATCAAATGGCTCTAAAACAACAAAATGTGCCAGATATTTACCTCACTTAGCCCTTGAATTTCATGGTTCAGACTTGTTAAAATATAGGAGACCCCTGCCGTAGTTGTGCTGTTTGTCTTTTTACGTGAAATATTATGTTTTAGAGTTACAGTGTGAAAAGTTTAATTTGTTTCCATTTTATTTTTATATATTTGTAGGTCTCAGTTTAAATGGAAAAGAATGACACTAGGTGATTTCTAAGCTCTGTTGTGTCTAATGTTCTGGGAGTTTACTACAGTAGACGGATGTTCAGTGAGACAGTGTCATACAAGCTCTTTTGTAAAGAGTTTGGTTGTTTTTTTTTCTATTTAAAACAGAGTCTCGTTCCATTACCCAGGCTGGGGTGCAGTGGCACAATCTCAGCTCACTGCAACCTCTGTCTCCCAGGTTCAAGCGATTCTCGTGCCTCAGCCTCCCAAGCAGCTGGGACTACAGCTACCACACCCGGCTAATTTTTGTATTTTTAGTAGATATAGCGTTTTCCCATGTTGGCCAGGCTGGTCTCAAACTCCTGGCCTCAAGTGTTCCACCCGCCTCAGCATCCCAAAGTGCTGGGATTACAAGCATGAGCCACCGTCCCGGCCAGAAGGTATTTTTTAATCCCCCAAATAATGACAAATTAAGAGTATTAAGTCACATTCAAGAGAGCCCCAAAGTTGCATGACCTGTATTAATTCAGCTATGGTCTCTCAGGGTGTTGGTAATTCACCGTATTTTTGTTTAGCTTAATACTCAGCATTCCTGGTGTCTCTCTTGATCCTGAATTTGGAGGAGGCTTCACATAATGCACAGACTGATAAAAATTTGCGTAAGTCCCGCAACACAAGAACAGCCTTCACTACACCTCACATTTACTCCACAAGAACTAGAATTAAGCCACAGGGAGACAATGAGGTGCACCACAGACCCAGATTCATGTGGCCTCCAAACAGGAGTCCATGCAAGGCAACAGTGGGAAGCAGGCTCCAGAGTAGAGGCAGTTCTCCTACCTGGCTCCAGGGTCTCATAAACTGTGGGTGGGGAGGGAAGGGACAGGGATGCATCCTTAGAGTGGAATGTGAATTCTCTCTTTCTTCTCATCTTCATTGAATACATTAACGTCCAGCCTACTGCTGAGTCAATAAGCACATCCTGCCCAGATGCACTTGCCTGTGAGCCTTTCTTCACAGGATTAGCCCCCATGCCCGGAGCTGATACCCTGGGCCAGACTTCTCCCTCAGAAATGACAACTTTATCCTCGGTGGAGGCCCATCTCCACCAAGCGTGTGGGGAGTGGAGTCGTTTGCCAGAGACTGCTGGCAATTTCACCTCTCCCGGTGGGCACAGACCCTCTTCCGCCCTTCCGTCCTTGCTGCCATTTGCACAAGCTCGCTTTGAAGCCACATAACCAAGCTCAGCTGGGAAGACCTGATCAGGATCCGCTTCCAGGTTGTGCTCCTCTAAAAACCATATGTAAAAGAAGCAAGGGATTAGACACTTTTAGAGCAGAAGGGACGTTGGGAGACCTAACCCAAGTCCTTCATTAGTTAGAAGCGGAAATTGAGACCAAGAGAGGTGAAGTTAGGGCTAACCTTCAATGTCTCCTACCCACCAGTTCAACTTTCTTTCAACTTTGCCGTTTGGCTTGCTGTGGCATGATTTATTTATTTATTTATTTATTATTTGAGACGGAGTCTCACTCTGTCACCCAGGCTGGAGTGCAGTGGTGCAATCTTGGCTCACTGCAACCACTACCTCCTGGGTTCAAGCAATTCTTCTGCCTCAGCCTCCCAAGCAGCTGGGACTACAGGCGTGCGTCACCACGCCCAGCTAATTTTTGTATTTTTAATAGAGACGGGGTTTCACCATATTGGCCAGGCTGGTCTCGAATTCCTGACCTCGTGATCCACACTCCTTGGCCTCCCAAAGTGCTGGGATTACAGGCGTCAGCCACCATGCCCGGCCGGATTCATTTATTTTTTAATACATTAGTTTTATTTATTCCTCAGCACTTTGGGAGGCCAGCGAGGCAGATCGCTTGAGCCTAGGAGTTTGAGACCAGCCTGGGCAACATAATGAGACCCCTCATCTCTACGATTAGCTGCATGTGGTGCGCGTGCCTGTAGTCCCAGCTACCCAGGAGGCTAAGGTTGCAGCTGAGATCTGCCACTGTACTCATCTTGGCTCACTGCAACCTCCACCTACCAGGTTCAAGCGATTCTCCTGCCTCAGCCTCCTGAGCAGCTGGGTTAACAGGCCCCGTGCCACCACGCCCTGCAAATTTTTTTGTATTTTTAGTAGAGACGGGATTTCACCATGTTGGCCAGGCTGGATGTATTCGATTTTTAAAATCCGAACTGTGTGCAGGAGAGTATGAAAGGAATACATAAGCCTTCACTGTTCATTTAACCTGCTAATTCATCTGTGAAAATGATGACCTTAGAGTGCCGTAATTAGAGAACATTGGAAACAAACCGACTTCCTCTAACAGTTTTCCAGAATGGCCGCTTGATGGCACTGTGACTTGTGGGCAGAGCCCACTACCTCTTCACAATGCCTGTCACACTGGCGAATTCAGGGAAGTCCTC